TTAAGTTATGACTAACGTTCCACCAGGAATACAAAATGTGTATTATATTTTTTAATGCATTAGGAGGGTTAAAGGGTTAAATACACATTTCAAACATCTTATCTTTCTGCCTATATGTCTATTTTTTTTTTATTTTTTCTATTTTTTTATCTCCATCCATCCATCCATCCATCATAGTTTTATTCAGCAAGGAAGGACACATTAAAATGATCAAAAGTGACAGTATATATACATTCATAATGAACACATTCAAATAAACTGTTCTTTTGAACTTTCCATTCACATGATTATCACAAAAATAATAAGCAGATAAACTGTTTTCAGCATTGATAATAATAACAAGAACCATTATTAATAACTTAGCGGCAATAATAACTGAGCATCAAATCATGATATTACAGTGATTTCTGAAGGATCATGTGACACTGACTGAATACTGAAAAATCAGCTTTGATCACAGGAATAATACGTTACACTTTACAATATATTATATTTAAAATAAATTCAAAATCCATGGCAGCTCTTTGTATGTTAAATTTTGGTGGTAAGTCCCAAGGGACGAATGCTTCAGGAAAACAGAGACATGGCAGTGATGAACAGATGCTGCTAGTCACATTAATGACACAAACAACCCAGAAGAAAAGGTTCTATATAGAACCTTAAAAGGTTCTATCAGTGCTACGTATTTGGAACCTCTAAAAGGATCTATACAGAATCCTTTTTAAGAACCCTTAAAAGGGTTCTATGGAACCTTTTGGGTTCATTCAGTATCATTTGTCCTTTTCGGATTAAATATTTCATTTTATTGACAAACATCAAGACCCAGAAATGTATTTATGAATGCATGTGAATGATCACAAAATTCAAGATATGGGGGTTAGAAAATGTATATTTTGATATAATTTGATGTAGTTAATCAATATCACACGAAGAGGGCCGTTTCAGTTTTTCACCTCCAAAAATCAGCATGATTAAAATAAGTAAAACAGTTTAATAAACAATAATAGCCTATTCTTGTCATTATAGAACCTTTTTAGCATGAAAGTTTCTTTGGAGTTGAGTAAAGAACCCTATGCTTCATATATAGAACCCCAATGAACCCTTTTTTCTAAAATGTATTCCACGTTATCAAAATAACAAGGTATATTTGAACTGTGTCCAATCAGCTCCAGCCTCTGTAACAGTGATGTCACGTTTCCTCATCTCTCCTCTGGCTCTACAGGACGGGCATGTTGCCATGGTGATGGCGCAGTACCACAGTCCTCCAAATGTACTAAGATTATCCCATGGTCCCGTGTGGCGGGGGGGAATCCTGTTTACGCTCCAGATCTTTTTTTGGAGGGCACATGTATGCCATCTTTCTCTTTTTGCTTCTTTGTAGATGCGAAACAAGCATTTCCACTGGGGGTGGATGGAGACTGTCCTGTCGTGTTTTTGCGCTGGCGCTCTGTGTCCCATGTTTTGGTTGCAATGGAAGACACTGATCTTTAAATGTCCTGTGCCAGTGAAGGTCATGTGACAGTGACAAATCCAAAGGGTTCTGCTGAGTCTGATATTATTGTACCTGATGTGTTTCATCCTGACTAAAACTTTGACCCACAACCAGGTCATTTACTGAGCAAATACACCATCAGCATCATCATGTCCGATGAAGAACATGTAGGGCTCATGCTTGGGTCAAACTAAATCTCTGGACTAGAGAATATCACTGCTAATTGTTTATATCATCTTCGTTAAATATTATGCATGCATTCCTTTAATTTACTTAACTCAATTACTTATGTAAATTATTATTTTAATCTATGTTGTTTTTGTTTTTCTTCATGTTTTGGCACTTGAAATCGCAAAAGTTGTTGCCATAATGCTTTATTTATTTTGTTATTTGTTATTAATTTTCATTTATGCATTTGACAACATATTTACGTTTTCGGAAAATGAGTGGAAAAAATCTAAATGTGGTGTGTGTATATATATATATGTGTGTTAATCAAGTATATTTCATCAAGGGAATATTTAATATATTACACCCTCAAATCTCTGATATTTTACTGCAGCAAAAATTGTATATTTTCGTATCATTGAGATATTATACATTTTTGAATAGTTTGAAATGTTTTTATTTTTATTCAAATTTTCGTTTTTAGCATTTTTTTGTGCTTTTCCAAATGCATATATCGTTTTTTATTATTTTTATCAATATGTCTAGGCTATATAGTTTTTTTTATCAATTTTTATTTCAGTTCTTTGTCAACTAGCTGTAATAAAATAAATGTACATTTTTTGCATCTTATTTCATTTAGTGTTTATTGGATTTCAAGTAACAAGCATGTTTTGTATGATTTTGTTTTCGTTTAGTTTAACTTTAAGGGTTTGTTTAAATCACTAACCTGTCTGTAAAAAAAATAATCGTGATTTTAACGGTATACTAGTAAAAATGCAACATTGTACAACTGTTGTTAATTGAATAATAGAAAATTTCCGTTCTATATACGGTAAATAACTGTGATAGATCTCATGGTACCTTTAATGTAATTTTACTGTAAAATACCATTAAATTTACAGAGTGTTCTAGTGAAAAAGAACAACTCATTGTATACTTTACAGTAAAAAATAAAAACATAAAATGACATTCCCACTATTCCCTGTGTGACACTTTCACATTGTATGTATTTTTGTTGAAATAACTATGTTCCTCATAGTTTTTTTGTGTCTTTTTTCTAATCCGTCATGTACATTAGGGCTTTATGTTACATTTAATGTTGTTTAATTTCATGTATGTTACCATGATGGTGTTTAATGTTTGTATGAATGACACTGTGCAGCTTCTTTATCTATAAGTATTACGGTAAGCTGATTGCGTAGCTAAAAGACTGCTTGAGATGAGCTTTGATTGATCATGTGACTCATCACTGTTGGTTGTCAGTGTATTACAATGGTACAAAACATATATCAATTCTTCAATAGGTTTGTAAATTAGCATTATATCAGATAATAAATTACGGTTTATTACTGTAAATTTTATATTAAGTCCGTAAAACCAGTAACGGTACTACCGTATTTGACGGTAAAGTTCTGGCAACCACAGCTGCCGTTTTTTTACCGTAAAAATTACGGTTTTATTTTTTAGCAGCACTGATCTAAACCAGACAGTTTTGCTCAGGTGTTTTGCACCTATTTATGCATGGGTGAACACCTGTCCTTCCCTCCACGGGCTGCTTTTGGTTATGTAACTCTGTCACTAAGTTACGGTGTGTGTGTGTGTGTGTACAGGTACAGCTACTGATTGGTTAACTGTGTCTCTGTCATTGCATTAATTTTTAAAAACTGTGGGCATCTATATGTCAGCTCCTCTTACTGTCAGCATAAGCGAGCAGCAGGTTTGAAGTCTCAGCGCTAGATGATAGTCACCGAGAAGGTGAGAGGCCAACACGTGCTTTCATGCATGCACTTGGACACTATTAGCTCAAATATTCAGTTAAAGCAAATATTCAGTTCATTTCCATCATCATTTACTCACTCAAATGCAGCACACAAGTCATACAGACTACTTTTATGATGCGTGAATGATTATTTTATGGAGCTTTTACCATTCACTTTTATGAAGAAAGCAACTATTCCTTTAAAAGACAGATTTTGTTACCAGAAGCCAATGAAGCGATGCGAAGTGATCGGTCACCAGTGCCAGTCTGCAGTGAACTGTGGATGCTGATTAAAAGGTCATGTGTAGGTTATTAAATATCAGCAGTCTCACTGTGAACATCCTCCAAGTTGTGAAATGATCTGAATGAAATGGTGCAGAAGAGACAGAACATAGCATTAGTCTATGTTGCGTTCGTGGCTTGAGGCATTGAAGAACTTTCTATTATAGCTGATATCTCTGTCTGCATTTGAACATAATAAAAAAAATGAGTTATGCAATTATATATGAAATGATGTCATGCAACTCTTTTCATGTTTAAATAATATCTAGGCTGCAATATTCTGGCAATCATCTTTGACTGCATCGTGACAGTCTGTGAGGCTCATTTGCATATCATAAGCTGTTTAAAATGCCATTGACAATGTTATAAATGACACATTTTTAAAGCAAATAAATAAAGTGTGGACTGCAGCTTGATCTTTAATTATCTTCTTCTGTTTCAATGTTGCATGCATGCTGATTTGTTTGCAGTCCTTCTTTAACTTTTGTTGGTTTTTGCTTTTAGTGCAACACCCTTCATATATAGAGAGAAACACCAGTGTCAGAGATCACTGGCTCAATGAGGTTAAGTCAAAGGTCGTTAGGTTTTATAGAACCTCATTTTGACAGTATTTCAAAAAGATCGAGGCTTTTTGCAAATGGGACTTTCTGCAATTGCTGTGAATTCAATGGCAATTACCGCGAAACAACCTTAAAATCTAAGCTGAGTATTGCTGCAGTTTCTGGCATCCATACCCGTTTCTTCTAATCACACAGAACAATGACTCTATTTATATTCTTACAAATTTGATATCGGCCCAGGAATGCTTTAACACACCACAAGAAATGTTTCTTTGACAGAAATGTTTCATTGACTTTGACAGAATCAGTTTCAACAAAAATTTATCCAAGTTTGTTTTTCTTTACTTCAACTGACAGACGGACACACACACACACACAGATAGATAGACAGACAGACAGACAGACAGACAGACAGACAGACAGACAGACAGATAGATAGATAGATAGATAGATAGATAGATAGATAGATAGATAGATAGATAGATAGATAGATAGATAGATAGATAGATAGATAGATAGATAGAACAGATAGACAGACAGACAGACAGATAGATAGATAGATAGATAGATAGATAGATAGATAGATAGATAGATAGATAGATAGATAGATAGATAGATAGATAGATAGAAACAAAAGCGTTTTCGTCGCAAACGCTTTGGCGGGAACCTCCACCCCGGCCCATGTTGGAACAATGGCATTCCCCCCCAAACGTTTTCCGGCAGCCCCTCCTTTTGCGCTCGCCGTTGTCCTGGTGGCATATTTCCGAACCCTACTATGACCAAGCCTTGGCTCATGAATATTAATGAGCTAATGTACACGCCAACGTATGCTTTTCAACCAATGAGAATAGCCCTACAGGCGGAACAGCACGGTACGTAATTAATATTCATGAGCCCCGCCTATTCCATAGTAGGATTAGCAAAGCGCGACCTGTCTTACGTGCTGACGCCATATGTATATGAGCGCACGCGGCGGGATCTTTTTCCCCTTTTAGCGCCATCAGAGCGGGAGTCTCGCGCTGTTCACTGCGCAGTAGCATCTCCGCCTCAGACAGACCTCTACTCGTCGGCTCCTCGGTAAGCACATATACCGCTGAGGGACTGCATGTTCGTGTTTAAAGACGTCTTTTTGCTCATAGTAGAAGATAAAGTACGACTTAAGTCGAGATTTAAGTCGTCAGAATGGGATATTTAGCGCGCCAGCTAACCGTTCAGTCAGCAGCCATTGAGACAGACTCCTCCATGATGGAGATGAAAATGGCTGTTCGGTTTTTAAATATCGTATTAATCCAACTTTAACCGTTAAATAAACTGCAGTTTTAACGTTTAAACGTTTCTTTGTTGACGGACTTGATTGGTTACGGTTTTTAGAAACGTTGTCTTGATTGTCTTTTCTCGTGTTGGTGGATGATGGTAACATTAGTTGGTCTGATCTGGCGGGTAAGTTTTTTTTCTTCTTTTTTTAGGGGGTGTCTCATCACGTTGTCGGGAAATTAGCAATGAAAAATAAATTTATTTGATTAAATCGTCTTTTTAAATGAAAGTCTAATGGAGTGACGTAAATATGGCACATGTTCGGTCACGATTAGGAGAAAATTATCTGATGTTTTTACGCATGCTAGTTTAATTCAACTTACTGTGAGGTTTTCCTCATTAGATTGAATCTGAATCGTTGAATGGCTTTGGTAATTTAATAAGTTTTCTCTTGTTGTGAGTGTTTGATTATAAGGATGCTGTGCTGCTAACAGCTTTAGCCGGTGGATCTGTGGAGGAAACACGTGGTGATGTGGCCTGGTGAGAATTGACCAATGCACTGACCCGTGGTTCAAATTCAACACCATTAACCCAGTTTAAGAGTCAAAGAGCTATTTTAAATGGTAGCTTTAGAAATGCCTGGACATTGTTGGTTAGTTTGATGTTTAATTCGTCACATCTGTATGATATCTGGCTGGTTAGTTACCAGAGAGGCTCTTATTGGATAGAATAATGCTGTACGTTACTATAATTGAAGTCAGCCAGTATTGTTTAATTTTCTCTTTTTTTAAATTTGTATTTATGTCTGGCTTATTCTTTCCAAGTCATATGTTGCAATTATTATGCTTTTGCAATAGACTTTGATCTAACGTTCAACCTTACTATTTTTTATGTTTTTGTAAAGTCTCATGCTAATCAAGCCTGCATTAATTTGATCAAAAATACAGGAAAAAAACTGTAATTTTGCGAAATATAACTACAATTTAAAATAACGGCTTTCTATTTTAATATAATTTGTATCTTTGATACAAAGCTGAATTTTCATCAGCCATTACTCCAGTTTTCAGTGTCACATGATCCTTCTATGTGATGCTTTTGTAACCTGTGATCCTTTTTTTCAGGATTCATTGATGAATAAAAAACATTTTATTCTGGTCAAAAGTTTAGAAACCAAAAATACTGGAAGTCAATGGCTGGTTCTGATTTTTTAAAATATCTTCTGACCATTTTCAGTTTTGGGTGAACTATCCTTTAATTCATGACTAGACGGGCTTCCCTCAGTCATGAAATAGCAATGAATTGTGATTTTTGGGTATGGGAAAATAATGCCCTGCTAGTGTACTTTTGTAGATAGCAATTTATATGAAAAAGTCTGATGAATCATGGCAAAAATCTTGGAAATTTGATGGTCATAAGGGTTGGGAACCTTTTAACAAGTGCATTTAACCTTTGCTCCCAGCTTGGATAAATTTTATTAGGTCTAAAGGCGTTCTGTCAGCTTTCACTGCTGACGAATGGTTATCAGAGTCTGGGGGAAACCTCCCAGGAACTTTGTCCCGGTATTGTGGCGCGCCATGATCCATAGCTGCCGTTGTTTGGGAAACTCTTACCTGTCTGTATTGACGGGTTTCAGCTGTCTGGTCTTGACGCAGGCAGACAGAGAAAGAGATTAACCTTCAAATCTGTCAAGAATGGATGCTGCCAGGTCTTCATGTTATTGATCTTCTACAGGCGAAGAGCTTCCTGTCTGTAACGATCAGCTCTTGAATGAAGTTGCTCAGTGTTGCCGCTGGAGGTCTGGACGTGGGCGTCTGAGGTCGTGTTTGATCCGACTGGCTCATAGACTTCAGATTTGGAGGCGGTGGAACTGGCTCGTATGCAGGAGTGCATTAACAAATGGATCCAGTCAGATTTAGAGCTGAAGATGGAGGCTTCACACCTTTGATTAATGCTAATCTAGTTCAGAAACCCCTTGGTGTTGAATTTCTGCAATTTAAGTTTTTTAGCGCGAGGACTGCAGTGTGTGTGACTTTCAATGCATTTGCATCTCAAAATCCAGTCTGATTGGACCTTTGGATGCAGCTTTTACGCTTTTGAAAACGTAAATAGTTAAACTTGTTCATATTGGATGCCTGAATCACGCCAGTGCAGCGGGTAAACTATCACCTGACCTAAGACCATCAGCGACCGAATTTGGCTTGAGGCTGTTAAACATAATGGACATTTACATTTTTCTTTATCTTTCTCCTCTAGGAATCGGAACGGTGAAACAACATGGCAGATCTTGACAAGTAAGTGCTTGTTTGTCTATTAAAGAGCTTTTATTTTAGACTGTCAGTAATGGTTTGATCATGTATCATTACCCAGTTTGACAGCAAATTGGATTGACGCCATTCTTCTTATCAGCTAAAATCTCTTTATGGCTGTTTGTGCATTAAATGGCACATAATAACCCTCTCGGCTGATGTTTGATTAGCTTCACATGACCAGTGAACGGATCTGTATGGTCCTAACCTCTCTCCTCCCTGTGAGAGACACTGAGGCCAGCAACATGTGCTTTCACCCTCAGTGTGGCATCCCAAGCATCTATGCAATGCCTAACGCGTGTTTGCAAGTCTACAGCTCTGGGTTTACTCATTCGACACATGATGCAAGCGATAGCTGCGAATCACCTGTTGTTCACCACAGGAACTTCCTGTCTCTTAAGAGCGCCGTATATGTGATGCCGTTTCACATGCACCTGTGTTTTTTATTTCAGCCGAAATGACAACCAAGTCCTGCCTAAGTTTTAACAATGTACATAAACTTTTTCTCGTTAGCAATTTTTTTTTAATAGTAAGCTAAGCTTTTAACTTTTCGAGAAGATTCTCATATGATCTCTTTTAAAATGTCTTTTAGGAGAAAGTCAAAAGCAAATGCAAGCACACTATTTGGGATACTTCACCTTTGGAAAGAATGTGTATTTTTATACTTGAATGTTTAAAAAAATGTCTATGAAGCACAGTGCTCTGATTGGTTGGCTGGAGCAATGTGTTGTGATTGGTCAAGCACTTCAAGTGTGTTTTAAGTCAAACACGCCTACAACCTACTCAACCTCGTCCTGTTTTTTTGCATATGCTTTGTGTAGGAATTATTTAAATGAGTAATATTGTGATGTTCGTTCCTGGAAGAAAACTAGGAAGGAAGACTAGGTGTTTTGGGGAGTTCAGAAACACTGACACTGATATAAAGAATAACTCCCTTTAGAATGATTTTGTGCTTTTATAACTTTGTATTCATTTTTCATGATCAAACAGCAACAATACACACTAAAGAAATATGAACATAACATAATAGATCCCCTGTAATGTGTGTATTTGCAGTAAAGACCAAACTGAAATGGACCCAGCAGATATAGAGGATGTTGAAGAGGTGGAGGAAGAGGAGACTGGGGAAGACAACAGTAAAGGTATGACCTTTGACTCTTTCATGCATGTTTTTCTCCTCGTTTCTGGTGTAATTTAAAGGTTTACCAATAGTGAGTTGTTTTTTATTTGTTTAACCAATATAACAATATGGCTGATAAACAATTAAACGATCCTCCTCTGCCAGTGCTTGACGACTCACAAAGGAATTAAAAAACTATTGCCACTGATGTTTACTAATAACAAATAGTTCAACAAAGCAACTTTATGTGTATATAAATCCTGTATAAACAATATATTGGTTGATTGTGACCACCACTCGAGAGGACAGGTTGACTGATCCACTTTATTTGCATTACAAATCACAACCAGACCAGGTTTGTGCATCACATGTTGCAGTGATGTCAAATTTTCGTAACCATAAAGCAAATATGTAACAATCAAAACGGCAGTATTTAATCACAAACGATGTGAAAAGGTACAAGTGAAACTTGAATGCTTTTAAAGCAACACTTCTGACTTGAAACGAACCGATTTGCTAAAATGAATCGGTATTCCTCCATTGAGTTTATAGTGTCTTGTTATTGTTGAGTCCCTTTGCTGTTTTTCTTCACTAGGCTGCTGGGTAGGAAAATTAAATGCGTCTGTCATGGATTCTTATCGCTGACACGCACACCTGACAGTCGATCACAGTCATTAGGAAGAGGCTGTGCGCACATTAGCGCTGGCACTTTTTGTGTTGGGTAACATGATATCAGTCAGTAACCTCAGTGACCTTAGCTTTGTTTAGCAGAGTATTAGCGCAGCTCAAAGCGTGTTTAATATCAAGTAATACGGACATTAGATGTGCGCTTGCTCTCTAAAGATTGCATCTGTCGCATTGACCTCGCCTGTGTTTCACTTTATTTTTGGGATGGAAAAGTGCATCTTTTTTGACCCTTGGTGAAGAAGGTGCCCTAGTTCTGAGAGTTGTTGATTGGATAATAGAAGCATCACACTCCGCCCCTTGTCATTGTTTGGTTCTTCCTGCTGTCATTTAACCCTTATGTTTGTTTGCTCTGATTTTAGCACGTCAGCTGACGATGCAGATGATGCAGAACCCCCAGATTCTTGCGGCACTACAGGAGCGATTGGACGGACTCGTGGGATCTCCCTCAGGGTACATGGAGAGGTATGTGTGAACACACCCACACACACACACGCATATGCAGAGCACAACTTCAAATAGCTCCCTTGTTTCCCATTGGCTGCGTCTGATTTTCCTACTTTGCTAACACAGACTGAATTAAGCGTTTCTAATTTTGGCCAGATCCTCTTCTTGCTTCTTTGCATCAGGGTTGAAAATTAACGGGAGCTTGGCATGCCATCAAAATGAATAAAAATGCTATAAATTCTAGATATGAGGGGAAAAAATGTCTCTCTTTTAGTTAATTTTTAATGAGATTGAATTAAAGTGCGCACATATGCACATAAAATTGCAAATTGAATTGATGTACTAAGTTAATATTGAGTGAGTTAAATTTGACAATATTAAGGGGCTTTCACACCAGTGAAACATTACCATAGCTCCTATTACTTTTGGCAGTTGTAGCAACGTTTTGGTGTGTTCACGCTGCATGTACTGGGAATGATATTGGTTATAGGAACACCTTTTTTTGGGACTAAATTAGCTCCTACTTCAGAGTAGGGTCCAACCCTATATAACAGGAACTACCAGTGACGTAAGTGTGTGTTGATTGGCTGAACACTTGCCATGCAAAAAACAGTACTCACCACTTTTAAAAAGCTGTGTAGACAGTTTACATATACTCCACGAACATGGAAAATGGCGATAGAACAAACAGAGAAAGCTCATGATTTTAGCATTTACCCGTCGCCGTTGTTTATTTCTCAGCCTCTGAGATGTAGCGAGGCAAGTTGTCACAGATATTATCTCTTTGCCTCGTTTTGCCTCTTTCAGTTGCATAACTTTTGACTACGTTCCATCTCCGTTATCACGAAAACTACGACTCACAACAGAAACGCAGGTCTGTTTAAGTACCGATAATTCTTTATATTTGAAAGTCGATAACCGATATATCGGCCGATATTTAATTTTGAGAGTCTGATTACAAAAACAAAAGACTCACAATTAAATCCATGTCCCAAGTGCACGATTATAATGATGTTCTCATTATAGTGTTATGTAGCCGATATAACAGATTTACGAACCGTATTTTAATTTTTTTTGAAGAGATTTCAATCATATTTCAAGAAATTAAAAAACAAACATTGCTCAACAAGTGTCTCAGCTGAAGGGAATAATACATTATTTATCGGCTTTAATATATCGGCCACGTTTTCTTACCAGGCCGATAACGATAACATTAAAAATGAACATATATCGGCCGATACCGATTTGCTGGCCGCTATATCGTGCATCCCTAGATAATAGTACCAAACAAACCCACAGCAGAATTGTTTCTCGTCTCCAAACAACAAATAGTGCCGTTTCATTATTCAATGTATCTGGATCATTTTGATTAACAACTTCTTCTTATTCTAGTTGAATTTCTTTAAATGTAAGAATTTGGCATAAAAGATGTAAAATGTAAAAACTGCCCTTATAAATGCATTTAAAAAATCTGAAAATCCATTGAAGTGGGCTGATATTACGTCATGGAGAAGTTAATTTCTCTCTGGTTTACAAAACTATAATTCTGAGTCATTCATGAATTATTCATTTACCCCTAAGTGACGTTTTTGTTGTTTTGCAGTTTACCAAAGGTGGTGAAGAGACGCGTTAATGCCCTTAAGAACCTCCAGGTCAAATGTGCGCACATCGAAGCCAAGTTCTACGAAGAAGTCCACGAACTGGAGCGAAAATACGCCGCTTTGTATCAGCCTCTCTTTGACAAGGTGAGACCATTTCTTTCATCCAGAAGGAATAATGTTGGTTTTATTCTTGTAAAAGGTGCAGTTTAAGATGAAACAACTGGCTGTTGTGTACCAGAAGACAGTACAGAATGTTAAAGCTGTTTTATTGACCTGCTGCTTCAGCATTTCCAACTGCAGCAAACACCAAAGTAGTGTTCTCCAGTGCTGAGATCCTGTGGTCAGTCGAGGACACGAGACAAACAGCAGCCAAAGAAATGTCTTCCAGAAAATAAAACCTGCGCTGGAACGGTTTATCCTCTGCCATAGCACTTTCTCTCTCCCAGAGGAGTTGTGATGGCCGGTTCTCAATTAAAAGACAGCGTTCTTCAAGATATTAAAGCCTGAGAACATTGCTTTAGTTGTGAAAACTATTTAAATCTTACAGCTTAAAGTTTGCAGTTTATTCTTGGCAATTGCTAGCCACCTATACTATTATATAACACGCACATTTCAATTTGTTCTAGTTAATGCTACTTAGACCTAAAGAGTCTGTGAATTAGCTTTTTATTGTTTAAAGGTGCAATATGCAGGGTTTTTGCAGTAAATTATCCAAAACCCAGTAGGCCAATGTTATATATTTTGTTTAGTTGATTACTTACAATATCACCAATGTTTTTAACTATTTGTAAATCGTGAGAAAATTGAGATTTTTACCAAGGAAACGGGGCGTGTGAGCAGGGGTGAGGAGTCACCAGTCAATGGGTTAGCCTCAGTTTCCGCCAGCTTTGCGATGGTAACCATGGCGACAGACGTGGACAAATGGGTTATTGTCGTTATACCTAGCAAGACGCTCACGCTGTTTTGTTTAAACATTTTGGACCATGGCAAGCAGGCTTTGAGACAAAAAGAGGACTAAAATGAAGATCAACATCTTTCGAGATGCTGAGAGCTCCACGTCCACGGCTAACTTCGACTTGACAGATGTGAACTGTTGCATGTATGCTTTATTAGACAAGTGAGCAAATGTACAAAAAACTAATCAATGTTATTTAGTTCAACATGATGCAATGTTAGAATATGATCTGTATGTTATTCTAACGTTGATCTAGCTCACTGATAGTCATACAGTCAACACACAACCTACCTAACAACATTCAACGCACTCAAATGCCGTTTAGTGTGATAGTGAAACTGTTAGAGCAAGTGAAGCAGCGCTGCGTTACCTCAAGTTTAATTCCTCTAATAAACTGACCTGTGTGAGTATTAATTCAGGACTTGCGTGTAGTTCGGTGGAATGAAATGTCCTTTATATGCGCGGGACTCGGCGCTGGTATACGTCTATCGAACGTGCCCTGCTTCTCACCACAGTCATGTTAAACATCAATTTATTCACTCATCCTTAAAAGATCCATCATCTTGACAAGCTCCATATTTGCGCTTAATGCGTAAAGTTCGTCATCTTTATACGCCCTTGTTACTGTAGGAGTTTAGCGACCCCTGCTGGCAAAAAATTCCTGCATATTGTACCTTTAATGGCAGTTTTGACATCTAAAAATGCATTTGAACTTGTGTCTTTAGCGGAGTGATATCGTGAGAGCGTCATACGAACCCACAGATGAGGAGTGCGAGTGGAAACAAGATGAAGAGGAAGAGCTGACCGTAAGTAAGCAGGTACAGGTGATCCATACCTGCATGCTCTTCAAATGCCACCTCTTATATCATTCATGTATGATTTATTCTGGAATAACTTGACGCTGTCGGCTCTTTGCCTTTATCAGGAGGAAATGAAGGAGAAGGCCAAAGTGGAGGAAGAGAAGAAGGATGAGGAAAAGGAAGACCCTAAAGGAATCCCAGAGTTTTGGCTCACAGTTTTCAAGAACGTCGACCTTCTCAGTGAAATGTTGCAGGTAGGGAGAGAACGGCCAAACGTGGGCTCGAGGGAGTGATTGTGATCGTTGTAGTGTTCAAAAGCAGGTCGTGTAACATGGGAATTTACAGCAAGTGAATTCTCTTTCAAAATATTGGTCTTGTCGTTGCTGCCATCTAGTGATGTGAAAGTGCAACTTGAAACTTTTTTTAGCTAATGATACAGGCATCATTACGGAGGCGTATTGCATTTACTTGAAGAAAAAAAATCTGAATTAATGAGTTAATTTTTCATGAGAAAAAAATTTGCTGTTTTTCTGAATTAATGAGTTAATTTTTCATGAGAAATTTTTTTTGCTCTGTTTTTCTGAATTAATGAGTTAATTTTTCGTGAGTTTTTGCTCTGTTTTTTCTGAATTAACTCGTTAATTCAGAAAAACAGAGCAAAAAAAAAATTCCATGAAAAATTAAATCGTTAATTTAGAAAAACAGCAGAAAAAAAATCCATGAAAAATTAACTCGTTAATTAGGAAAAACAGAGAAAAAACTTTTTTTCTCATGAAAAATTAACTCATTAATTCAGAAAAACAGAGCAAATTTTTTTTCTCATGAAAAATTAACTCGTTAATTCAGAAAAACAGCAAAAAAAAAAATCCATGAAAAATTAACTCATTAATTCAGAAAAACAGAGCAAAAACTTTTTTTTCTCATGAAAAATCAACTCGATAATTCAGAAAAACAGAGCAAATTTTTTTCTCATGAAAAATTAACTCGTTAATTCAGAAAAACAGAGTTTTTCTTCAAGTGAATGCAATACGCCTCCGTACATCATAACTTTCCTTCCAAATATTCAGTTTCGATCAGGAATTAATATATAATTTGGTTATCTTGGTTTTATCAGAACATGAAACTTACTTAATTATTTAATAAGCTTATTTTATTTCAGGTAGATGACAAAGCAACATTTCTCGTTTTCATTTGCTCTTGCATGCAGTGTTTTATTATTATAATGTGCATTTATTAACAAGATTAATTAGTATTTTTATTTACTTTTTTTCTGTCTAGGAACATGATGAACCAATCCTCAAGCACTTACAAGATATTAAAGTCAAATTCTCTGACGCCGGCCAGCCAATGGTGAGCCTGAAAGTCGTTGTTTTCTGTGTGATGTCTTTAATCTCACAGTTCACTCACTGTTTTGTGTGTTTGGTCTCTTTTCAGAGTTTCACATTAGAGTTCCACTTTGAGCCAAATGATTTCTTCACACAAACAGTCCTGACAAAGACCTACAAAATGAGGTCCGAGCCAGATGAGTCCGATCCCTTCTCATTTGACGGGCCAGAGATCATGGGCTGCACAGGGTACGGCTCAACTTTCCACTTTAACTCCATTGAGAGCATTGACACGCCAATGTTAACCTGTGGGACTGAATATCTGTGTTTTCAGATGCACGATCGACTGGAGTAAGGGCAAGAACGTCACACTGAAAACCATTAAGAAGAAACAGAAACATAAGGGACGTGGCACAGTTAGGACGGTCACCAAGACGGTCCCCAATGATTCATTTTTCAACTTTTTCTCACCCCTGAAGGTAGAAAATCCTCAATTATATATTTATTTTATTTTTTTTATCAGTTGTTTTTGCTGATAATGACGTCGTTTAAACTTTCTTTTCCTTTAATTTTCTTTCCAGTTCCAGAAACCGGTGAACTGGTGAGTAAACCATCCTTTTTTGGCCATGAACATTTTGTAATTTTTTTTTTTTTTTTTTTTTTCTAAAATTGATACACTTACAAAAAGGTTCTTTATTTCCATTGATGGTTCCATGAATCTTTTGTGGAATTCTTCCATTCCACAAAAGATTCTTTAGAATTTTAAAACGTTCTTTACACTAAGAAAAAAGGCTCTTTTTAAAATGGTTTGCTAAAAGATTCTTTGGGATTTAAGCATGCATGGTGAATAATCTGATATTTTGGCCATTAACAATGAAATCTGGAGGTTATATATCAGTGTGTGATGGTTTGTTTTTGCTGTGTGTCTAGGACGAGGACTCAGAGGCAGTGTTGGCAGCAGACTTTGAGATTGGTCACTTCATCCGCGAGCGCATTGTTCCCAGGGCGGTGCTGTACTTCACTGGAGAGGCCATCGAAGACGACGATGATGACGTGAGTGAACAAGACATCCTTTGTCATAAAGTGAAATGCTTTGTTTTCAAACATCTGACCTCTGTGTTTCTGTTATGTTTGCCAGTATGACGAGGAGGGAGAGGAAGCCGACGATGAGGTTCGTTTACATTATGGTGTTTGTTTTTATCATCTTAAGTCGCCCTCGACTGTTTGTAAATTGTGTTTGTAATTTGCAGGAGGGTGAAGAGGAAGCCGATGAGGAAAACGATCCAGACTATGAGCCCAAGGTAAGAGTCCGGATGTCTATCAACGCTCCTCAAGGCAGTCTGATACTGAGATCTCAACATACAGAATACATACGGTCACCTCCACTCATGCATCTCCGGCTCTCCCCCTCAAATGCTAATGCTAATTTATTATTTTCTAGTTTATTCACAGCTGTTTTTAATTAATTCAAGGAAGAGATCCAAATTGAGGAGTAGATGACAGACTGCAGTGTTTGTGTCATCTCTGTTTGGCTGTTATTGCAGGAGCGTTCAGACCTCTAACCCTGATTTATAAATACTACAGTGCAGCTCTAAAACTTGAAAATATCCTGCCCTACAAGGGTCAATTTTATTATTTTTCACGTAATCTGTAGATATGCATCAGTATTTGCTCCAAGAGGTCAATGTTAAGGATGGCATTTCAAAAGAATGGTTTTCCTGACTTGTAGGGCTGCACGATTTGGGGGAACATCTATTACGTTGTTTGTTTTTTGTCGATCAATATGGCATATTAGTAATAAAAATTACTAAAACAATGAGGAATATTACTATTGTAAAAAATATTTGAGCATTTAAGAAATCAACTACATTACCACTGTAAAAATTACTTTTAAAGTCTTGATTTCACTCTGAAACACTTAAAATATAAAGTAACAAAATGGCTTATTGCGATCATTTCGGCTAATCGTGCAGCCTTGCCTCCTTTTATTCTAATACTAGAATATTATACAAATAGCTGCGTTTTTCACAAACTTGTCAGCATGTCAAAGTTCTGCTTCTACATCTCATCTTTTCTTAAAGCATGCACTAAACCACTCTACATTGTTCAATTAGTCAAGAGTAGAGATCGACTTTTGTAAGCGCCGACATAATTAACATGTTAACTTTTCAAGCACTTTGGCACCTTGTGAGTTCCTCTCTAAATTTCTCCTCACTAGGTGTAAGTGATGTCTGTAGTAACCCTGCCCTGGTAGGTAACGCTCCTGAATCCGTGTCCCTCTCTGTTGCGTTTTGAATCCCTTCCCATGATTCCACCCCATCCTCAAACTAATCACTAACACACTCGGTTGTTGTGGTTGTTTTTATTTTTTTCATTCTTTAACCTTTGTGAGTTGGTATTAGCATCTGTATTGTTTCTGTATGTTGAAGCATCCGGTTTGCTCTCCAAATGAAACCCTGATTTGATTTGACTTGTCTGCTGGAGTCTTTTCCCGCTGGGGGAGGAAAAGACCGACCGCACTCGTTCTGTCATGCCATTGGTGGAGCCCGGTGTCAGTCATTGCTGTGCCATCCTTAGGGCCCTATGAAACGTTTTATTTATTCTTCTGGATTTACTTTTTCCTTCATTTTAATGGTTAAATTAAATTATGAAACTTACAATTCAAGTTAAAAAAAAGTTTAGCAAGTCACTTTAATTCTGTTCCATTTTCATTTTTCTGGATTCCGTTGTAATGGTTTAATTGGATTAATAATGAAAATATCTAATCAAGATGTATTTTTTTTTTTTTTTTTTTTTAAATAGGAACTTATGATTTCCTTTTCCCCCAGAAGTTGTTTCAATGTTTCCTGATTCATGGTTTAACTTGAATGTTTAATTAAAGGATTAGTTCACTTTTAAAGGGGTGATGAACTGAAAAATCTAATTTTCCTTGAGCTTTTGACATTTAAGAGGTCATCATATTATATATATATATATAATATATATATATATATATATATATATATATATATATATATATATATATATAAGAATATCCTGTAAGTTTTAGAACTGAAAAAGTCCTTGTTCATCCAATAAAAGCTTTTATTGACACCAGGCTCAGCAAACGACTACTTTTTCAAAGTGGGGAATATTGACGTCAAAGAGGATAAAAACCACCCCCGCGGAAGATCAACGCCTACTTCTAGCCCTGCCCACCGATTCGTGATCACACGCATAGCTAAATAACATAGATGCCTACCTCGTGATGACAAACTGGATCGAGAGTGAAACTCATTTTAATATGCAAAACTGTTCTCCACTCACAGCAGTGGGCGTTTACTTCCAAGTCTTCAGTGCGAGACGCCCATAAAAACCGAGTGATTTTCAGCTAGGCTCAAAACTAGGGTAGAAAATTACTTATTCATTTTTAAGTTTTTGAATGTAAAAACCAAGCGAACGTCATAACTTGACCTGATTTTTAAAATTTAAAAAGCCAGTTCATGACCCCTTTAAAAAAACTTGCTGATAATTTACTCACCCCCACATCATCCAAGATGTCCATGTCTGTCTTCAGGCGAAAAGAAATGAAGGTTTCTGATGAAAAACATTCCAGGATTTTTCATTAATTCATTGAACGAAATGACTCGAAAAAAGATTTGTTCATTTTGATAAACAAGTTCGAACAGGAGAGTCACGAGCGCACATCACAGAACAGAGCAAGCTGAGCATTTGCGCTTGTAAAACTTAAACTTTTTTTATATATTTTTTTAAACGACTGATATTTTTGTGTACATTAAATCCTGGAATGTTTTCATCAAAAACCTTAATTTCTTTTCTACTGAAGAAAGAAAGACATGGACATCTTGGATGACAATGGGGTGAGTAAATTATCAGCAAAAGTTTTTTTTAAAATTGAACAACTTTAAATGCAACCACAAAATGGTTCAGGCCGATATTTCCCGCATCGTGTAAATCATAGGGCCCTGTGTCCCCTCAGTTTGTGGCCGTGTGATTTGATTGGCTGAGGTCCCAGCTGTTGGTTTTACAGTTGAAGTGGGTTTTACGTGCATGGATTGTAACTCTCCCTCCTTCTTCTGGTGCTTTACAGAAGGATGCCAACCCCCCAGAGGAGTGCAAACAGCAGTGATGGCGGCGCCCGCCTCCTTCAGGATCCCCTACACTGTAACGGCTTCAAACAAACATAGTTACTTACCGCCTTACAATGTTTTGTATTTTTCTTGGTAGAAATAATTGAAAAATAAATAAAAGGGTTTCAAGATTTTTGTTACAAAAAAAAAGAAAAAACAACTCCTATTGGGAGCCGTTGCTCATGACGCATAGTATTTTACTAGACCGGTTTCTTTCTTTCGTTTTCCTTTTCTCTCTCTGTATACATGGTTAGAATGCAGAAAATCCCTCAAAGCATGACACTTGTTTCTTCACTGCTAAACTAGTTGGGTTCTCGTGAAGTCTTTTGTATTGCTCTTAGACAACAGCTGTGGAAAGACGGTCCGGTTTACAGGAAAAGTGATTCCTTTACGCTCGGATCAACCAAAGCAGAGGCACAGGGTGGCACAGAAGTGCTCATTCACTCATCTCAACCCCCCCGTGTGTAATCCGGAAAAATCAGTTCTCGGTTAAAATATTCCACGAAGCGTCCCACTATTTTTCCTTAAGGGTCAAAGACGTTGTGTCGGTGGTGACTGTACATTCCACATCCGTGTGAAGGAGTTCGTCCTTCAGTAGACGCTCTGCTGCATGAATTAATTTTTTTTCTTCTATGAGCACTTTGTACTTTGTCATGTGTCGGTAACGTCGATTAGACCAAGCGCTTAACGTTACGCTGGCTTGCCGTTATTCAGGTGGGTTCTCTGCTCCATGCATCTCTCCAGAAGGCACTTACAATGATCCCAACGAGCTCATTGGAGGATTAGACTTAATGCGAGAACCTGATTGGAGGAGCCAGTTATTGGTTTGTTTCTGAGCTCGGCCCTGAGTGATGTTTGTTGAGGAGTCTGTGGTGACACACCACCCTCTGTTTGGCAGGCCTATCACTGTGAAGGGGTGCGACTGACTGTGTGTGTGTGTGATTGTGTGTGTGCACTCAGAGGAGGGTCTCCTCTCACTCGTAGCGCAGCCCAGCAGGTCTGAAGCAGATAGAGCAATATTTTCACTCCGGATCCCCGAACGCCGCAGTATCCCGTGTCTCGTAGCTCCACATGTCTAGCTCGGACCGTGTGGCTCGTCGATTAGCAGCGGGGGTCTTTCTGGTTCCCCCTCAGCAGCTGTTGTCAAAGCAAAATGCCATGCTACAAAATACTAATGTACTCAATAACTGTACGTGGATGTATATTCATGAAATAAATTGGTAAAATGTGCAAGCCTTGGTCTGTCTGTTTCTTTGCTTGTATAAATCCACGCACCAATATTTGAAATAAATGGGAAGTTATTGCTGAAAATCTCTGCGATATGCAAAGCTCAAGTCTAACTGTTGTTGTCAATGTCGTGATGGTCTGTGGCAATTTTTGTAAATATTTGTAATCATTCATTGACCCCGCTAGGTGGCAGCGCTGAGTTTAAATTCCCTATAACTTATATTCCCTAAATATAAATTATTCAGTTTGATGACAAATAATTGCATGTGAAACTTGATTATTTTAATTATTATAAACTTAAGTAACCCGTAATAAACCGTATTTACCTAATGTTGCTAGAAAAATAATATCACTTGTTTTAAATCTGTAATGAATTAACTTATTGCTCTTATTTTTCATTTCTGTTCATTTGAATCAAGCATTACAGTAGTTTAATATCTGCCTTAAATGAAGTGCAATCAACTTAGATGCTTAAGTCATTCCAAATTTAAATTACATTAAACAGAATTCAAAAGAGTTAAATCATGTATAACTTGAAGTTGAAAGTTGCTTAACTAATTTTAGTGAGTTAAAGCAATGTAAAAATTGCTTAACCGACTGATCATAGTCTAATTTTTTTTTTTTACAGGAAGGTTTAAATGTTAAAATATATATGCTTTATTAACACATGGAATATATATATATATATATATATATATATATATATATATATATATATAAATTCCCTTAGCCATTTAATAGAGCTGTTTTAATCAGAAATTTCTCATTTTAATGTTAGTTTGCATTTTATACTTTTCGGTATTGCTAGACCGTTGTAATTAAAAAAGATATCAGTTTATTTAATCTATATGTTCACGCTGTTTTATAGTACATGATGCCACTGTCATATTTCAGGCATTTATGATATCTCGTTAAACGTTTGTTTTTGATTATTCGCATTAAATTACATAATGCAACATAATTAAGATTATGATTCCCACAAATGTTGCCTAGTAGACAGCTCGGTTGGTTTTGAGACAGTCCATGATGAACTCGACTGTATGTGTGTGCGCGCGCGTGCTGATGTTGCCGAGTTGAGCGCGCGTGCAGTGGGCGGTCCGCGCTTGAAAGAAAACCCCCGTGCGCGCTCTGTCCCGATCATCGCAGACCCGGGACATCCATCCGTCCGCCTACCTAGGCTGCTACAGTCCCAACCCGAATCCGAGCCCAGACCCAGTCCCTCACAGGCTCGTTTCATGCGCGATCTGACGAGATGCTGGAGTCCGGTGGCGGCGCGCGCGTGCTGAAGGAGGGCGCGCTGGAGAAGCGCAGTGACGGGCTGTTGCAGCTGTGGAAAAAGAAGCGCTGCGTGCTGACCGAGGACGGGCTGATGCTTCACCCACACAAACACCACCACCACCACCACCCCCACGACACCGGCTGCAAGGTGAAGGAGCTGCACTTCGCCAACATGAAGACCGTGGACTGCGTGGAGCGCAAGGGGAAGTACGTGTACTTCACGGTGGTGATGTCCGAGGGCCGAGAGATCGACTTCAGGTGCCCGCAGGACGAGGGCTGGAACGCGGAGATCACGCTCCAGATGGTCCAGTACAAGAACCGCCAGGCGATCCTGGCCGTGAAGTCCAGCCGGCAGAAGCAGCAGCAGCTGCTGATGGTCTCCTCGCAGAAGATGCTCCGAAACGCGCAGTAGGACGCGTGAGACCCGCGGAGCCTCTCCGGAGTGCGCGAGATCAAAGGACACTCCCGCGTGGAAGCGCGTTGCTGGAGCGCGGAGCTCGCGGGCGTCGGTTCGGTGTCACCTTGTGCACTTGGACGCGCGCGCAGACGCTCTTCATGCATTGAAAGACATCACGGCTGAGTTATCATCATATACCGGACGGGAATATCGCCTCGGAGACTGTAGGGGGGCCGGGGCAAGTTGTCACACTGAGGTTTATTGTCTAGCAGTGCTTATGCGTGTTGGTTTCAAACATCTATCTTCAAGGACAGTAATATCTGTGTTTTGTTTATCTGTAAAATCACGCTGGGATGTACGGTGAGAGCATATAATGAAGGTAGATTTGAGATTGTTTTCTCCAATAATGCAAGGTTGGGGCAAGTTGTTATGAGGTATTGAATTAAAATCCTTTTTTTTTTTGTTGATATTTTAGAATTATTTTATTTTCCCATTGTGACAACATGCCCCAATTAATTGTATTTCTTTTTTTTTTGGCTGTAATGGTGTAAATGTTCATATGATTTCTGAAGCAAATACTTTAAAGTCTGTATTTATACAGAAACTGCCTGAAAATACCCCGAGTGAAAGGTGTGACAACTAACCCGTGGTCTCTCTTCTATGTGTATGGGTTATAAATGTGAAATGCCATCACCGTTCATCTGTCTTGAACAGAAGTGCCATCATCACTTTCCACACCGCGGTTTCATTTGTCAGTCTTGTGCGGCTCTGGACGTGTGATCAATATCTTCCAGGAGAGCGAGAGGCTAATTTGTCACGGTCCAGATCGCAGTCTGCATGTGTGTGTGCTGGGATTTTAAAGAGACCACCCGAGTGTCACACATCCAGTGGAAAACTGCAGACTCCTGAAACCCGAAACACCTGATCTTTATTGATCAATCACTTCTGCATTTGATTATATAGCCTATTTATTTGTATATATTTTGTAACTGGTCATTTGCATATCTGAATGTTGGGTTATGTCTCTTAATGCATTTCACAATCTCAGAATAAGCTTTTTGATTACTTTTTTATTCTTGTAACTGGTTTGGATGGAAGATTCACATTTGACCAATGCTGTTTTTGAAGATACCTTATTGGTTCGCGTTGTTGCATTTCAAACCAAAGAATGTATTTCATGTTATTGGGTGGATTATGTGGACATGACGTAACTCATACTCTGTTAAGGTTCATTCATTTGAATTATGAACGTGACCTCAGTCCGTGTGTTAGACGCCATATTTGATGCAGTGTTGAAACACTGGGAAAAGTCTCAAATGTCTTCTCTTCATTCCTGCCGAACTAAATGTGGCCTCTATCCTGACTGATCTGTGTGTCCTGATCGATAGTGCATTACATAAAGCGTCTCAGTTGAATGCAGCGACTGAACAGGACTGGATATTGTTGATTCATCAGATGATCTCTGTCGAGTCCTGCGTGACAATGACATTTTCTGATGGAAATGCCACTTTCATACCTTTGAAATATACATTCCATTTCAAATGAATGTTGAATCTTTGTCTTTGCTGCTGATTTTGGGGGGATTTCACGGTACAGAAAGAACAAATGGCGATGCACATGGTTCGGCCAGAAACATGTCAACACAACAAAGCTAACTTAAACTAGGTTCCCAGCTCGCAATTTTGCGTTTAAAAGACATCTAATAGATGTCTAAACAGCCCAGGCTAAAAAAAAAAACAATATTTGGGCTGTTAGTGAAAATGTAATAGACGTCTAAAATGCTGGGTTGTTTTAACCCAATTTTGGGTAAAATATGGACAAACCCAAATGTCATTTAAAATGTTATCCCAATTACTGGGTTTGTCAATATTTGATCCAAATTTTTGTTGAAATAACCCAGCATTTTTTTAGAGTGAACCATATCCTAAGAATAGACTATAGTCATCAATTAGATAAAGAAGTCTTTCTAGTCGAAAAGAAATTAAGGTTTTTGATGAAAACATTCCAGGATTTTCTCCATATAATGGACTTCAATGGGGACCAAACGGTTCAAGGTCCAAAAGACTGCAAACTGCAAACTGTTCAAAGGGCTTTAAACGATTCCAGACGATGAATAAGGGTCTTATCAAGCGAAACGATCGCTCTCTTAAAAACAACAACAACAAAGTTGAAGTTTTATAAGCTCAAAAGCTCGCCTTGCTCTGTTCTGTGATGCGTGTTCGTGACTCTCCTGTTCGAACTCGTTTATAAAAATGAACGAATCTTTTCCCGAGTCAACTCGGAATGAACCAAATGACTCGAAAAAAGATTCATTCATTTTGATGAACGAGTTCGAACAGGAGAGTCACGAACGCGCATCACAGAACAGAGCAAGGCGACCATTTGAGCTTATAAAACTTAAACTTTTTTTTTTTTTAAATGAGCGATCGTTTCGCTTGATAAGACCCTTATTCATTGTCTGGTGTCGTTTGAAGCCCTTTGAACAGTTTGCAGTTTGCACTGAAACAGTCTTTTGGACCTTGAACCGTTTGGTCCCCATTGAAGTCTATTATATGGAGAAAATCCTGGAATGTTTTCATCAAAAACCTTAATTTCTTTTCGACTGAAGAAAGAAAGACATGGACATCTTGGATGACATGGGGGTGAGTAAATTATCAAGTGTTTTTTTAAAAGTGAACTACTCCTTTAACCTAGACGGTGAAATGGTGACGGTTTCTTCTTCAAACTCTTGCTCTGCCTCAACCTAAAAAATGAGTCGTGGAAGAAGATGCTGAGAGTGCAAGTCATATTTGCATTGCATTATGAATTGCATCCATTGCACAGCGTTTGGCTTCACATGCTCATGTTTCAGGTCGTGTGGTTCACGTTTCCAGTGCGTCTCGTGTCTCCTGCCGTCAAATCACTCGTCTGTCTTCCTGAGCTATAAGTGGAAGCCGTTTCCTTGAATAATATTTCTCTGTCAGAGCTGTCAGTAAGACGAAGTGTTGGCCACGCATCTACGCCTCCGAACGCACCCGGAGAAGCCGTCCAACTTAATTAAAACCCGAACGCTAAATCAGAACGAGCACCCGATGCAGGGCCACCGTGAAGGGTGTGTGTGTGTGTGTGTTATTGGATACACATGACCTTTGTAGACGGGGAGGACGGCTTCATTACATCACATTACTGTACTTCAGTGTCATGTCATAGTTCGGATTTGGGATTTGATCAGCAAGTGTGGGTGGAAAGATGTGTGTGTGTGTGTGTGTGAGAGAGTGTGTTTCAGTGCATGGCTGAGATTCTTTCAAAGGCCTCGCAGGGGAGTGTGGCAGACTGCCTCATTCTGCACCCCAATTATCTATTTTTACTCCTGTACACCTCTGTAATCTGAGATGTGTCCCTCTTATAGATCTCACGTGTTTATGAACCACATCCGTTTGTCTCAGTATGATAAATGGCATTTATTGCACAGGCCTGTTCCAAAAATCATATTTCTGGACCACAAACCAGGTTATTGTTTGTTTCTTTGCATTTACACATCCTCCTGAGACTTGAATACGTTTTTATCCACAATCAGTTCCTAAAATGATCCATAAACGATCATGACATCATTGCACCAGAAATCACGGGTTTATTACTGAAGTTTGTAGTTTGGCTGGAGCAGCGGTGTTTCTGCTACAAAATCATTGCAATTTTCTAAATGCCAGTTAATCGGTGTAATCATTTACTCCTTCCGGCAGTCGTGTGGAATTAAACCAAAGCTAATTATCATAGCAGAAGGTGTAGGACGGAGAGATGTGCTGAAAACAAGCCAATGACAGAGCCAGAGGGCGACAGTGAAACTTCAGCATCTGTTTCATGTGTTAGTCTTTTTTTTCTTTCTTTTGTATGACATTTGCTCCAGAACCATGTGAACTGTCTTGGTGTCTACACCTTCTGAAAACTTGTGCTCTTTATTCGAAGCACAACAGCAAAGCAACTCCCAAACGATTCAGTCTGATGAATCAATTTAAGCTATTGACATTACACAATAAATTGGCCTATATCAAGCATACAATGAACTAAAAAACACGAAGACACATGAGACATATGAGACATATAGCCTATTTGTTAAAAGTGTATTTCTATTTTTATTTTTTGTTTTAATTATTTTTCAGTTTTGCAAATAAGAAAGTTGGAACAGTTATAATTTGCTTGATTCTCAGCTTGAGGCAGACTGTTACAAACCCTTGTGAATGTCAGCTGATGATAATGATTGTCATATTAACCAAGTGAAAACCCCCTAGTTAGATATTTGCTATTAAAAGTATATTTGTTATTAACTTCATGGCTGTTGAAAGCGCTGACAAAGACACATTGGGTATGTTGTCTTCCAGTCAGCTGCCTGTCAGATGATGAACAAAGTTAATAAATAGTGTCTGGTAGGCTATTTTAAAAGCAGATAAAAAGATTAGACGAAGGGAGAGAAATGTAGGCTTCTTTAATTACAAGCAGAACGTTTAACAAATTGTTAAACTAATTGTCTTTGATTAAATAGCATTTTATGGAAATTGAACATTTTTGGAAATGGGATTTTTAGGGAAGAGATGTAAATAAAGTCAGTCACTGACTGTATTGGCTGCTTTAGGTACAAAACTAATATAAAGAATGAACAATTAATAAATTTCCGTTTGTGGCACTGCATGTGACGTGAAAAGAACCGATATTAATTAATTATTTTAACCGGTTCATTAAGTAGGCTATAGCTATAATTGTTTGAAGAAACCGGTTCGCGGAAATTAATCACATTTTCAATAATCGAATCACACGTTGAAGTGAATCGGACTCGATTCGACTGAATGAATCGTTAAAAAACGAGGTCAATCGCATTTTTGATAATCGGGTAACTTTAGGCTACAATCAAAAAACCAAAATCTCTCGTGGACGTCAGTATCTAAAACCGTCACTCGACACACGGCGTCTGCATGTCCCCGTCTATGTAAGTTACCTAAAACAAGCAACAAACACACACTCATGTTCATTTTAGCCTATAGGCTAATTACAGCACAAGTTGCGTTTGTGAGTTTTGAATAATAACCGAACTGTATAACCGTGTATTAAATAGTCAACCCAAATCTCCTGTGTGAACCTTCCGACTGAAGTTCGTGAAAACAAATTAAACACTGAAGCTAATATTTTTTTAAAGCATATATTAGGCTAATGGTAAAGTAGGCTAATATTACCATTAAACTGTCTTAATATTTCTTAGTTCACCCAAATATTTTATACTTTTTCCACTTTGGAAGTCACATTAATGAGCCCTGGGCCTGTTTGGTTATACCCATATTCTTCAAAATATCTTCTTTTGTGTAGTTCAGCAAAAGAAAGAAATTTATACAGGATTGGAAAAACTTGAGGGTGAGTTAATGATGACAGAATTGTCATTTTTGGGTGAACTATCCCTTTAAGAACATTCCTTTAATGTAATAATTCAGATGTGTGATCAAAATATTTTCAGAAGTAATATGAAATATTGTAGCTGAACAGTTGAACAGCTAACTTTAAATCTCCTGTCGTAACACTTGACTTTGGCCCTTGTGTCTTTGGCCCTCTCTCTCTCTCTCTCTCTCTCTCTCTCTCTCTCTCTCTCTCTCTCTCTCTCTCTCTCTCTCTCTCTCTCTCTCTCTCTCCCCTCCAGCATGCACCTGTTCCCATTCACCCTGAAGCCAGTCACACCAGTCTTCATTAGCACAGCTGCTGCCGCCCCTCAGTCCGCAGACAGGAAGTCAGATTAGATACAGAATGTCACCTTGCCCATATCAAGCGCTGGCGACCTGAATAAGACACATGATCATGCTGGTGATTTACATCAGTGAGTGAGCAAACACTTCTTATCTAGAAGTAAAAACAGACTTCCCTTAGAGGAATATGCCTCTATTAACACTTTACTTGAGGCCTTTATTGTATAATGCATTATTTTCATAAATAATTGTAAAAATGCATTATATTAGCAGATGTTGCTTGTCATGTTTTTAAATGCATTAGATTTTATGTGTAACAATGAATAAACAAGTAGCACTTTACATTTGTTAATATTAGTTAACTACACAGTTAATAGCAATGCACAATGCATTAACTAATCTTAGTTCATCTTAATCTCAACTTTAACTAATGCATTTTTAAGATCGAAAAAGTTCTATTATAGGTGATGCGCGTTCATGACTCTCCTGTTCAAACTCGTTCATCAAAATGAATGAATCTTTTTTCGAGTCATTTGGTTGATTCAACGAACGAAATTAACGATTAACTCGGAAAAAGATTTGTTCATTTTGAGTTCGAACAGGAGAGTCACGAACGTGCATCACAGAACAGAGCAAGGCGAGCATTTGAGCTTATAAAACTTAAACTTTGTAATTTATTTTTTAAATGAGCGATCGTTTCGCTTGATAAGACCCTTATTCATCGTCTGGAATCGTTTAAAGCCCTTTAAACAGTTTGCAGTTTGCACTGAAACTGTCTTTTGGACCTTGAACCGTTTGGTCCCCATTGAAGTCCATTATATGGAGAAAAGCCTGGAATGTTTTCATCATAAACC